TAAGTGTTCACGAGAGAGACGAAGTGAGTACTAGGTAAAATTTAACCAAGTAATGACAACTATCAAGTAATAATTTGCTATGGAAAAATTGTTGGTTGTGAGTTCTCACGGAGCTAATTAATGTAGAAGCCTGATGGAGCAAAGATATTACCCAAAAGTCGTACCTTGGTTCATCCTTATCTACCTAAAGCTATATCTACCTATATGAATGGGTATCCATCATAATCATGGGCATATGTCCATCAGAGGCGAGGTGAATCCTCGGCGCGAATTTCAAATCAGTATCGACAACTACCATGTAATAATTAGCAACGGACAGTTGTTTGTTGTGTGAGAGGTATCGCGGAGCTAATTATTGTAGCATTATAATTATGTTGTGTGAGAGGTCATGTCGAGTAAGTTACTAACAATAACCAAATATTATAAGTGGTACCTCTTTAATACACTTAACTATATTGTAGCATTACTTGCAAAATGGACGGAGATGAGACGAAAGTTAGATATCAGAGACCATTGGCATATGATCCAATAGCCTATATCAATTACTGACTTATAATTTGAAACCTTATATTCCTTCTCGTGCGTCCCCAACTATGGCAAGCAATCCTCTAAAAGAACAATATATCAAGCTATAATGTCCATTAAAATTAAGAAGATCGTATTTCTATGAGACAGGGAGAATGGTTACCGGATGCACCATCACCTAGGATGCACCATCAAGTCATTCAGGGCATGTACAAAGAGAGGCTATTTGTAGCACACACGTCCAGGGGCACGCGGATTGGTCCCCTGCATATGTTTAGGGCTTAATTGCTATAAACGGGGTCCACGCATGCACCTTTTTGCTGGGAGTGCATGCCCCCACTCGCCCATCGACCATGCCTTTTTATTTGACTATCAAATTTGAATATATTATATCGTTTGAACTGAATGTCCAAATTATATTTCTGTTTTGACATTCGTGTTTTTTAGAGAATTTCTTAGTTAGATGAGTTACGCATATTCCAGACCGAAGTTACAAAAAGTAGTGAATAACTTTAATCTTTGCAATGTTGTAGCCTCTCAGCTGGACATTTCAAAATCTATGCATATTTGAAAATTTAAAGCTGCACAAAGTTCGCCTAGCTGCCGCTGCATCAACATATTGTAGCATTCAACCATCTAGGTTCAGAAGTTATTTCATGTCTATACAGTCAATTTTTGCGACCACGTTGATTCGATTTTGTTTAGACTAGAGTAGAATGCCTACTCAAAGGGACTAGTACATTCAGAGATCACCAGAGGTCTAAGACTGCGAGGCACGTCAGGCGATCATCAGTTGGTCATGTGCCAAATAATTTTTGCACCGCTTCACGTGTCGGACCTCACATGCAGAGAAGGCAGACATGGCCCGTTTAATATCCATAATCAGGCCATAGCATGCACACCGCGAGGGGATCTCACAATTATTTGGTTGTCCATTCCGAGGATCACCTGACAATTAACCAAATGGCCAGCGCCTTCAGACTAATCAGGGCAGCACTGGCTTCCGCTTCTTCCACATTATTGATGGTCCGCAGCTTCTTACAGCCGCGTGAACCCGAGCGTCTGCATGCTATGGCCTAATTGTCGGAAAGCTATTTCAAATACAAATCCAAGCGTATAATTTTTTTACAGCATATACTTTATACTCCCTCCGGCACAAAATAAGACAACTTTGTACTAGAGCTAATACAAAATTAGGACACTTATTTTTGGACAGTGAGTATTTTAGTTAGTAGTCTATAGATGGTCAAAGTCTGGTCCGAAATACGAAGAGACACAATAAACCCGTACGAAGGTAGTACTTGTCCTCCTTGCCATTATCGCAGATGCTGCAGATGCCGTCCGTCTCAAGG